GTAGCCAATTTCTGAGGTCAGAAACTTCTTTTACGGATCACAGTGCCCATTTGTAGTTTTAGGTTATTTGCCCATGTTACCCAGCTTTCTTGGGGCATGCTTCCTTTCTGGTGACTTGGTAAGGGCTTAGAAGTGCATTGTTTTACTTTTTCCATCACATTCTTTTCTAGGTTTAATTGGCTTTTCATTTTTATTGGTGATATTTTTAGTGTTATTCATAGGAAGTACTTTCCAATCCTTGAACTACATAAACTGCTCTAATTAAGTTGTTTTCTGCCTATTTAAGACATACATAGTGTATTCATATTATTATGTTGACCATAATGGAACTTGTTTTAAAAACAACCTAAAATACTAAATCAGGATTCATCAAACCATTATGTTCAGCAGGTCACTCTGGGCATTCCCTCTAAGCCTTGTGTTAAATAATAGACCTAGAACTCAGGAGTGTGGAAAGCGCTAGTACTGCCCTAGGAGAGCTTATAGCTACTCCTGCAGGAGCCAGCAAACGGGTGGAGCACAACCCCACTGTAACTTTCCATCGGCCCCGAGTGTCCACAGAGAAGTGGTTTATAGCTATTCCAGGAAGGGCCAGGTTATAAATTGACTTCCTCATTGCCTATTTTATTTTTGAGGCCGGTGGAGTCTTCCAGTTTGACCTTCTAAGGAACGTGATTTGCTCTTCTGTATCACAGAAAATTGTGATTTATTGACAATAGAATCTGAACTTTGCCCCCCAATTTCATGCCAAGGCATTGGTAACAGCTTTCTGTCTTCAAAACTATATGAAGGTAAAAATATAGACTAAATGCTTATTTAAATCATAAAGTTAATATATGGACCTTGAGGAATTTGTGTGTGTTAATCCTCACCTGAGGATATTTTTTCCATTGATTTTTAGAGAAAGTGGGAAGGAAAAAGGTAGAGGGAGAGAGAAACATGGATTGGTTGCCTCCTGCATTGATTCCCGGACTGGAATCAAACTACAGCCCTTTAGTGTGTGGGCTGACACTCTTGACCACTGAGAAAACTGCCCAAGGCAGAATTTGTTTTGTCACTGAAGTCCTGTTTTTAAAAGGGGTTAAAAACTAAGTGTATGGTATACATTTGTCTTTAAGTCTTTGCACAGATATTAATCCACACCAAGTCCTTGTGAAATCATGTATAGCAGTTTAAAGGCGAGAAAATTTGAGATCATGTTAAGTTTTAACTAATTAAGCAAGTTTACATTAGCACCTAGTTCTGTTACCACTGCACCATTCCTTATAATGGGGGGAGGGTTTTTAATATGTAGATAATCAATTTGATTTTGCATTCTCCCAAGTTCACTTTTTATCATAATCTCTTTTGTCCTCAATGCAGACCTAGCTTTTCTCCATTTTAACACAATAACACTTCTTGTCTTTCAATTGGCAGAACTGGATTGTATTCCAGAAGGTGCGTCAGCTGCCACCAGTTGGAGCTATGTTCTTATCAGTTGTGCCCCCAAAGTACTGCATTGGTAGCTATGGTTTTACCAAATACAGAGGAATGCTGGGGATTAGTGGACCCTATTCTGAGTCCCCTTGAGGTTAGATAACAAAGTAGGGAGGGGGGCTTTCAGGATCAGGGCCCTTCTTTCATCTTGAGCAACTTCATTACAAAACAAACATGTATCCGTCAGCAGCGTATTAGGTTACTCGAATCCAGTCTTTGTTCCAGTAAAGCATTATGGTAAACGCCTAACCCAGCAGGAAATTAAAGTACTTAATTATGACACCAAAAAATAAATAGGGTAACAGAGCCAATTTTAAAGGATCTCAATGACTCCCCTTCATGTTATTCACACACATGTAATCCCCTTGCCTTGAATGTGGGCTGGACTTTGTGACCAACATATTAGGGCAAACGTGACAATGTCATTTCTGAGGTTGGGTTACAAAAGGGCTGTGACTGATGTCTGCACCTTGCTCGTCTCAGAGCCCTTGCTCCGAGGTGCCATGTGAGTACTGCTGTGGAGAGCCCCTCAGTGCACAGCCTCAGGAACAGCCCTGCAGGCAGCCGCCGAGCTCGGAATCATGTCCAACACCCTCGTTACCCCACTGAGAAACTGAACAGGGACACGTGGCTGAGACATGCCGATTCCAGCCCACAGGGACTGAAATGGGTGGGTGGGTTGGGTAGGTTGGTTGGTTGGTTTTTTAGAGAAACAACAATCAGCTGCCTCCTGCACACACACACCTGGGACCAAGCCTACAACCTGGGCATGTGCCCTGACCAAAAATCAAACTAGCAACCCTCTGGTGCACAGGACGATACCCAACCAACTGAGCCACACAGCCAGGGTGAAACAAGTTTTAAAGCAACAGTTCTGGGTAGCTTTTTTATGCAGCAAAGGTAATATACAGAGATGTAAGAAGATGAAAATCATTGGGGTATCTTTCCAGTCCACACTTCAGGTATAAATGACTAGTCCTTCCTCTCTTGGCCATATCTGTTAGTCGTTGGTGAGGCTTGGGCATCACAACCATCCCGAGCCCCAGCCAAAGACAGGCAAGCCCAGGTGAGTGAGCAAGAAATATGACGGCTTGGTTAGAGGAGCCTTGTTTTATCGGTTTTCTGTATACTTTCAAAGATGAGATTGGAGGTGCCTTTTAAGAATTTATTAAAATGGCAAAGCCACTTCATAGTGCTGATAAGCAGTATCAACAAGAATTATTACTAATATTGGGGAGGCTGAATTCTGAGTTTCCCTGAAGATAAAACTGAAGGGGAACGCTGGGTGGTGACTCGTTTGCAGTCCTTCCCAGCATTGAAGCTTGCTGTGCCTGGCAGTGCGATGTGCCAGCTGTTGAAGGTGCACCGTAAGCCCCCAGAAGCTTCTGTCAATAACCACAGTTGCCATTTCAGTGAGAGATTTTGAAGGTGGAGAGGCTTCTGAAGGTAGAAATGCTTGTGTTTGTTTTTTGGGTTTGTTATATAAAATAAATGAACAGCCCTGGCCAGTGTGGCTCAGTTGGGACATATCCTGTGCACCCAAGGCCATGGGTTCGATCCCCGGTAGGGGCGCAGGAGGCAGTCAGTGGATGTTTCCCTCTCTCTAAAGTCAATAAAAATATTAAAACTTTTGAAGAAATACACAAATACAGCTAAAATACTAAGCTACAGAAATTTAAGGAAATTCTGTCATTCATCGAGCTTGCATAAAGTAGGTGCCTGGCTCTGAAATAATTTTTTCAGCACAAGAAAATATGAATATGATCTTTCTTAAATCTCATCCTAAAAGATCCCATCTGCCCAGTCGGCATGGGTCAGTAGTTGAGCGTCGACCTGTGAACAGAAGTCACAGGTTCATTCCCAGTCAGCGCTCATGCCCAGGTTGCAGGCTTTAATCCCACTGTGGGACTTGCAGGAGGTAGCTGGTCAGTGGTTCTCATCATTGATGTTTCTATCTCTCCCTCTTCCTCAAAAACGAATAAAAAATTTTAATAAAATTTTCCATCAGCAATAGGGATAGTACTGAGAGGCTCTCACCCCTCACCCATCTGCACTGGAGAGGGTCACTGCACTGACTCGGCAGATGGTCAGAATGCATTGGGGCAAATGTGATGTGCTTCAGCCCAGGAGAATGTCCTACCTGCTGCTGGACCCAGCTAGGACAAGGTCCGCGGCAGCCTGCTCAGCATTTACCCTCCCTGTGAGGGAACAGCGCCCACGCAGAGAACACCTCTGCCTTGTTATCACTCAGTGCGGATAATTAACAGGACCCTGTTTCTTCACCACCTCGCAGGCAGGAAGCGGCCTGAAGGGCCTATCATTGTGTTGACACTGCTCCAGTGCCCCTCTGGGGCCTGCAAAGTATTCACCATTTAGTGTGCCAAGCCCAACATGTTTTGCAAGATGTATCATTGATTATTATAACAAACTAGAGCCCCAGTGTACAAAATTTGTGCACAGGTAGGGTCCTAGCCCTGGCCAGCAATCGGGGCTGATCAGAGTCTTCTGGCTACCAACTGGTGCCTGCCTTCATTCTGTGAAGTCCCCTGATGATCAGGGCACATCATAGCAAACAATTGAACTCCCAAATTCCCAAGGGAACACTTTGCATATTAGCCACATATGTATATATATAATCTAGAGGCCGGTGCACAAATTCGTGCATTGGTGGAGTCCCTCAGTGTAGCCTGCAGGGATCAGGCTGAAATCAGCAGTCCAGTGCTGCCTGCTGCTCCTGCCTGCCTCTTCTCATCCCAGCCTCACTATGCCTGCCGCCGCCACTGCCACCACTCCGCTATGGTCTCCGGGCTGCAATTGCCAGCCTTGAGCCCTGCATCTGGCACCCATTGGTCAACTGAGCGGCACTCCTGCTGTGGAAGTGCACTGACCACAAGGGGCAGCATCTGCCCCCTGGTGGTCAATGAGTGTCATAGTGACCAGTCAACCAGTTGTTTGGTCAACTGGTCACTTAGGCTTTTATATATATAGATTTATATGGATTACTTGAACACAAGTAGATTAATGAATTTGGGGTCCATTTCTGATTGGGTCTGTGTGGGTTCTGTGAAAAGGTGTGATCTGGAGTTCAAAGGGGGAAAAATCAATTCAGTCTCAACATAGGACTTAGGTCCTATGTTCACCCAGTCTTTATTAGGCTTCCTAATGGACTCGGGTTCCGGAGGCCTCTCTTCCTCACCCACCCCTGAACATCAATAGGAGCAAAATGTGAGAAAGATGATGCAAAGGCCCCTCAAAACTTCAACCTGAAGTGATCCAGTTCGCTCAGCCGCCTCCCGTTGAGACGCCCTTGAGAGCCAGGGCAGTGCCTACGTGCCTTCACTGGAGGCACTCAAGCGTGGACTCCTTTGCCTCTCCTGTCACAGAGAGGTCTCCAGCAGGAAAATAACTTGCAGGTCTGAAGGGATCAGAAGAGAACTCGGGGTTCCCATCAGGAGAGGGACTGAGTCTGGATATCGTTGGTGTGGTCACTGCAGTTCTGCTTCTCTGGAAAGTTCTGTAGACAGTGGGTGGCCTGTCTCAGGAGCCCGCCAGGTTCTCGGGTTCTAATCTTGCAGCAAAGGGCTTCGGACAGAATGTGGGCAGGAACAAGTTCATCTGAAGAATTCAATTCCCTATGTTTCCAGTGTCATGGAAATAGATGACCTGTGATCTTTAAAACAACAAGCATTTGAGATTGTGAAATGTGACGCTTTTAAAGCCAAGAAAAAAAAAAAAAAAGAAAAAAAAAGGCTGCTCCATGGATGCTCACATTTTGATTCACTTCTATCCAGGCGTGCATCCTCCCCATTAGTGTATGAGAGTATTCAATGCTCCTCAAAAAAATTCATGTCCGTTAAAATGTAAATAAAAGGTAGTGCAGAAAAGGGGGAGCAGACAGAGAGAGGCAGCTACCTTTGACTAGTCCCACTCCAGAATCTACCGGAAAGCTATGACAGCAACCCAAAATGCTGATAACCATGGTCCAGTTTAGCAATTGGTGACTTTTAAAGTCTTTAATGAGATAATTTAGAGAAATTATCTCTAAGAGAGTGACCCCAATGCCCGCACCCATCACTGGAGAGCTGGTTAGAAGGCAGTGTCCGTTTGCCTGGTCTCCCAGAGTCAGAACTTGCACTTGAACAAGATCCCCAGGTCACTGGGTGCAGATTGAAGTCAGAAACATCTAAGGAGTGCATGGCTGACTTTAAATTATTTGAAAAAGCATATGTACTTGGTCGCAGATTGGAAGTTAATTTGGAAAAATTAATGAAGTTTGAAGGGAGATATTCCTTCCCACCCACACAAAGAGGTGAGGAAGCTGACACTGTCCTGGGCTTTTCTTTAGAATGTGTTCCTTGACGTTCTTGCTCAATCACATTTTGGAAACTTAAAGGACAGTAAAGATATTGATATGCCGTGCTTTTTTTCAGGCATACATTAAAATTGTTCACTTGTTCCTTTCTGCCTCAGCTATCAGGGAGCATGGAAGTAAATATAATATCAGTACAGTAATTCTATTCACCTAGCTTCCTGGTTTTTTGTTTTCCTCATGTTTTCTATTTTATTAGGTTTTCAAGTCTTAAAAATCACAATTCTTTCTGAAAGACGAGTCCATATTACAGTCATGACTTATGAAAAGGCATTCTTGTCAGCCATGCTCCACAAAAAGATGAATTTATGAAACTGTTTACTTTGAATGATCTCACTGTTTCCACTTCTCAAGACAAAATCAAAACTAAAAGGTTGCTGTTTACCCCTCAGTGAAGGACTCAGATACCAGCCAAGTCCCCACCTGGGTGGTCCCTAGACCACCTCGCAGCCCCCACAGCCCAGGCGCATGAGTCATTCCGGCTGAGGATTCAGTGAGTCAAACCACAGCCCACCCAAGGCACGCAGACCACCTTCCTGTGACATACTCACCGCCTTCAGCTGCTTCAGACTTCCTCTGCAAGGAGAAAGAGAAAACAGTGCTAGCTTACAACCAAGGTTTGTTTTGGGGGTAATTCCCCATCAAATTCCTCATTCATTCTCAAGAAAGCTTGCACTTCTGTTCATAACATCGATCAGCTTGTAATTCCATTTTGCTAGCTGGTCTCCATCATCAGGTCTTAGGTCCAAGTTACACTTCTTCCCCTCACCACTGCACCAAGGTGTCTGTGCAACTGAGCACAGGAGCTCTTACTGGCAGGGTAAATGGATGATGTGAAATGTGGGGTTATCAGAAAGAAGGGGAGAGAACTAATATTGATTAATCAGCTATAATATGCAGGCAAGTGTTAGTGTTCTATATGCACTATCTAATCCTCAGCACAATCTTTTAAACATAAATTTTTACTCATTTAAAGTGTACAGCTTGATGGTTTTAAGTATATTCACTAAGTTATGCAACCATCACTGCTATCTAATTCTAGAATGTCCTCATCCAAGAAACTCTGTGCCCATTAGCCATCACTCCCAACTTCCCCCTCTTCCTAACCTTAGGCAACTACTAAAATCTACATTTTGTCTCTATGGGTTTGCCTATTCTGAACATTTTTTTATAAATGGGGTCATGTAATATATGGTCTTTTGTGTCTGGCTTCTATCTCAATGTAATTAGATTGATAGATTGATTGATCGATTTCAGAGAGGGAGGGAGAGATAGAAACATCAATGATGAGAATCATTGATCAGCTGCCTCCTGCACACCCCACACTGGGGATCAAGCCCACAACCCTGGCATGGTCCCTGACCATTAATTGAACCATGACCTCTTGGTTCCTAGATTGATGCTTAACCACTGAGCCTCAGGATAATGTTACTTTTTCAAGATTCACAAGTAGCAATTTTCAGTACTTAGTTGTTTTTTTATGACTGAATAATATTCCATTGTATGGATATATACATATTTTCACCCATTCATCAGTTAATACACATGTAAATTTTTTCCACTTTTTTATTATTATGCACATTCATGCTCAAGTTTTTATGTAAACATATGTTTTCAAATTTCTTGCATATAAACCTAGGAGTGGAATTGCTGAGTCACATGGTAACTATGTTCAACTGTTTAAGGAACTGCCATTCTGGTTTCCACAGCAACTGCAAAATTTTACATTTTCACTAGTAGTGTATGAGGGTTCCAAGTTCTCACATGCTCACCAACACTTGTTCATCTTTTTATTATAGCCATCCTAGTAGGTGAAAAATGACATCTCATTGTGGTTTTGAATTGCATTTTCCTAATGACTAATGATGTTGAGTATCTCCATGTGCTTATGGCCATTTGTATATCTTCTTTGGAGAAATGTCTATTCAAATTCTTTGCCCATTTTAAAAAGTGGGTTCTTTGACCCTAGCTAGTTTTGCTCAGTGGATAGAGCATCAGCCTGAGGACTGAGGTCGCAAGTTGGATTCCAGTCAAGTTGCAGACTTAATTCCCAGTAAGGGGCGTGCAGGAGGCAGCCAATCAATTATTCTCATCATTGATGTTTCTAACTCCCTTTCCCTTCCTCTCTGAAATAAATAAAAATATATTTTAATAAAAAAAAAATTGGGTTATTTGTATTTTTATTGTTGAGTTGTAAGAGTTTTGTTTTTTTTAGTTAAGTAGTTTCTTTTTTTAAATATATTTCATTGATTTTTCTTTTTTTTAAATATATATTTTATTGATTTTTTACAGAGAGGAAGGGAGAGAGATAGAGAGCTATAAATGTCGATGAGAGAGAAACATCGACCAGCTGCCTCCTGCACACCCCATACTGAGGATGTGCCCACAACCAAGATACATGCCCTTGACTGGAATCAAACCTGGGACCTTTCAGTCCGCAGGCCAATGCTCTATCCACTGAGCCAAACTGGTTTTGGCAAGTTGTAAGAGTTCTTAATATATTCTGGATACTAGAATTATAATTATGATTTGCAAATATTTCCTCCCAATAATGTGAGTTGTCTTCATTATCTTGATGGTGTCCTTTAAAGCAAAAAGTTTTCAATTTTGATAAAATCCAACTTGTCTATTTTAGGTGGGGTTTTTTTGTTTGTTTTTTGTGTGGGGGTTTTTTTTGTGTGTTTTTTTTGGTGGCTTGTTTGTTAGATGTCATATCTAAGAAACCATTGCCTAATCCAAGGTCATGAAGATTGACACCTACATTTTTCTCTAAGCATTTTATATCTTACAGTTAGGTCTTTGATCCATTTTGAATTAATTTTTATATATGATGTAAGGTGGATGGTCCAACTTAATCTTTTTTGCATGTAGATACCTGCCTGTTCCAGCACCATTTATTGAAAGAATGTTATTTCCCCCATTTAATGGTGTTGGCATCCTTGTTGAAAATCAGTCAACACTAGACATTTGGACTTATGTCTGGTCTCTCAGTTTTATTATTCCATTGACCTGTGTGTCTGTTCTTAGGCGGGTACCACACCATCTTGATTACTGTAGCTTTTTTAATAAGTGGTGAAATCAAGATATGTCCATCCTATGACTGACTTTGTTCTTAAAGATGGTTTTGGCTATTCTTGGTCTCTTGCATTTCCATATGAATTTAAGATAGCTTGTCAATTTCTTCAAAAATCTAGGTGGGATTTGTATAGTGATCACATCTAATCTGTAGATTAGTTTGGGTAATATTGCCAGCTTAACAATATTAAGTCTTCTGATCCATGAACATGGATGTTTTCATTTACACAAATGGCCAGATTATTATGATATCTGAACACATAATAATATGGCCAATCAGTGAATATATACATTAGAGGCCTGGTGCATAGGTGGTGTCCAGCCAACCTGGCCAGGGAGAGGGGACATGGGCAGTTGGCCAGCCTGCCTGCTGGTCCAACTCCTGGTTGAGGGGACAATTTGCATATTAGCCTTTTATTATATAGGATATACACTGAATGGCCAAATTATTGTGTGTTCAGAGATCATAATAATCTGGCCACTCAATGTATTTAGCCAGTTTTTCAACAATGTTTAAATTTTTTCATGTATACACTTTGCACTTCTTTTGTTAAATTTTTCCATTTTATTTTTTTGATGCTATTATAAATGAAATTGTTTTCTTAATTTCATTTTCAAATTGTACATTTTGAGTGTATACAAATCCGTTAGAATTTTTTACATTGCTCTTATATCCTGCAACCTTGCCAAAGTTGTGTATTAGCTTTAATAGTATTTTAGTGGATTATTTAGAATTTTCTAAATGCAAAGTCATGCCATCTCTTAAAAAAGTTATTTTTACTTCTTCCTCTCCAAATTCAAGTTCTCTCATTTCTTTTTCTTGACTAATTGCACTGGTTGTAAACTCCAGTACAGTCTTCAATGAAGTCACAAGAGCAGATATTTTTATCTTCTTCCTGAGCACAATCTTTTGAAGTAAGTTACTTACCCCCATGGAAATGAGGCTCAGATGAGGAAATTGAGACTCAGAGAAGTTAAGTAACCTCTACAAAGTCACACACTAGTTAACAATGGGGCCAAAACTTTAAACCCAGGTCTGACTCTAAAGCCCTTACTCATTTACTTTGCTTCCTTAACCTCTAAAGAGAGGTTAGCAACTATCTACTGGTGCAAGTCTTCATTTCTGCTTTCATTGTTTCACTTATGCCACACCATAATGGAGGTAACAAGAGCAGTGCTTCATGACCCCCTTTTTACTGGAAAGGACACTGAGGTCATGTGACTCGAAAGACCTAGGAATCAAACTCTGCTCTCCTGACCCAATGGTGTGCTTTGTAAGCAACAGTAACGACTTCATTGAGTAGTTAGATGAATTCAAGAAGTCCATGTGGGTGTTTTCTAACAGGTAATAAACAAAAAGGATAAATCCTGTATGATAGTGAGGAGACAAGTATACAGAGAAGAAAATCTGAAATGGAAGACAAGTTTCATGGGGTCAAAATGAGAGGGAAGGAAGGAGGGAACAGTGAACTGATGTTTCAATTAATAAAGGAAGTGTCAGAGGGCCCTAGATAGTTTGGCTCAATGGACTGAGCATCAACCTTCAGACTGAAGGGTCCTGGGTTCGATACCTGTCAATGGCACTGCCTGGGCAGTGGGCTCAATCCCCAGTGAGGGGTGGGCAGAAGATAGCCAATCAATGATTCTCTCTCATCAGTGATGTTTCTATCTCTTCCTCTTCCTTCCTCTCTAAAATCAATCAAAATATTTTTTTAAAGTGTCAAAGGGACAAAACCATCTCTTTATTATAAGAAAGCACTTGAAAGAGGAATTATGTGAATAAATGTCTTTCTAGTTCAAAGAATTTCTTCTGAGAAAACAAAACAAAAACAAATGAGCCCTAGCTGATGTGGCTCCCTTGGTTGAGCATCGTCCCATGCACTGAAGGGTCAGCAGTTTGATTCCTGGTCGAGGCACATGCCTAGGTTTTGGATTCATCTCCCATAGGGTGGGAACAGGTGCAAATGGATCGATGCTTCTCTCTCACATCAGTGTTTCTCTCCCTCTCCTTTTCTTTCTCTCTAAAAACAATAAATAAACATTTTAAAGGAAGAACACAAGTGGGTAATATAACAGTGCTCTGTGCCTGTGTCTCAAAGCTAAGAGGGAGGCAGCCTGCCTCCAGCAGCTCCCGCTGTGGCCTCCCTGGAAGAACCCTCAATGCAGAGAGCTCTGTAGATTGCTGGGATCCCCTCCTCCAACCTTTCCCCACGGGGTTGCTGTGAAGATTAAGTAAAATGGCTCCTAAGAACCTGCCTCCTTCACACAGAGGAGGCTCAGCAAGCACTGCTTCCCTTTCCCTTCATGGGGTCTGCAAGGGACCCAGGCCCTAGGCATCCCCAGGACCATTCATCCCCCTTGGTCCAGCTCTTCTAGGAATGTGGTTTCCATCTTTAACCGCATAGCTGAGGTTTGGGAGTCTCTCGAAGGGTGAGATGTTCCCCATCACTTCCCTGCAGGGAAGTGAAGACCCTGAGCCAGAGAAGACCGAGCTCGGTGCCCCTCTTTGCTTCCTCCTCTCTGTGCTCTTCCTGGAGGACTTCAGTCCTCCCCCTCGGAAGGTCTTCGGGCACGGGAAGGGAGTTTGACTGCGTCTTCTGGTTCAGGCCAATGGGTGGTATGAGGATGGCTATGGGGAACGAGGCTAGAGAGGTCTCTGAAGTAGGACAGGCCCTGGACAGTGGCCACCTGCTGGGGGTGGGCGCTTCAGGACTCGCAGGGAGTGAGAGCCTGAGTCCCTCACCACAGAGGAGGGCTGCCTGAGCGACGGGAGTGCAGGAGGAAGGGGTCCCGGGAGGCAGTCGGGAGGCCTCCTGAGGTCCGCCCGGCCTCCAGGGTCACTTCACCTGCTTTCTGTGACTGAGGGGCAGGACGTGGAGGAGAGGAAACAGGACGGGCATATGGGGGACCCCCAGGCTACCTCTGGAGCCCGGGCTCCCCCACCTGCAGTTCAGGGCTGCTTTCTAGAGGAGGCAGGCCTGGCTCCCAACTGGATCAGGACTCCCTGGGAATGCAGGGGAACACCCTTGTACATCGGACAGCCTCTGCCCCACAGCACTGCCCCCCACCCCAAGACCTACCCGATTGTAACCCTCCGCTAGCCTTTGCCTCTGAGACCGGGGCTGTGTCCCCAGCTCCTGGGTGACTGGCCGGGAGGAAGCCCCGCCGCCCTGGGGCGCGCGTTACCTTGTCCGTCGGCTGTGTAGTCGTCCGGGAGCAGCTTGTCCTGCCGGTAGCCCAGCACGAAGGCCAGGAAGGACAGGATGAGGGCGTCTCCGATGCTGAGGATGGCCAGCATGAAGGCCCAGCGGATGGTGCAGTGGCCCAGCGTGTACTTGCCCGTCTGCTCCCCGCACATGCGCCGCACCTCACTGGAGTCCCAGCCGTCCGGGTAGACCAGGCAGCCGATCATCAGGCCTGTGGCTGGAGGGGCGGAGGGCGGTGTGTGGGCTGGGCGTGCTGTCCTGCCGCCTCCCTCCTTGTGCTCACGGCCCTGAGAGGCACGTGGGCAGCTGCTGCCATCCTTGCAGGACACCAGGCAGCTCGGCAGGGAGGGGCAGGGAGAGGCTCCGACCAGGACAGGTTCTGCTCAGGACAAGGGGTGCCAGCAGGCCCGCAGCTGGCTCCCCCAGCCTCAGAGCCCTCCAAATCCGGTCCCGGCCCCGAGAACCCCTCACTCCTGAGGTGCACCTTTCTTCACACTCAGCATCTGAGACACCTGGTGAGAACGGCCGGGCCCTCACCTCTTAGAAGTGTTTTCGTTTTACAGCCCGAAGGGTAGTGCTGAGTCCTTCAGCCCAGGGATCTCGGCGTCACTGAATACGGAAGTCCGGCCCGGCTCTGCCTGCTTCCTTCACGAACCTTCTGTTCAAGCCATCAGACCTCCTCACCCTCCAGGGCAGCGCCATGCAGCTGCCCACACTCCCTGAGTTTGAGAATCCCCGGGAATATCCGTCTAAGGCGCTGGCTGCAGGTCAGGGCGGGCTCGGTCCGCTGCTCTGACAGCGCCCCTCCGGGTGGCGGCTGTCTCAGCAGGAACAGCTCACCGCAAGCCCCGCTCCTGGCTAACCAGCTGTGTGACTCCAGCCAGCTGCTTAGCTTTTTGCCTCAGTTTCCTCGTTTGTAAAACTGGGATGATAATGCCCAACTGTTTGGATTGCAGTGCGATTCCAGTGAGGTGGGACTGGACAGGTGCTCAGAACAGGCGGGCACAAACTTGGCATTGAGGGTTTCTACTATTGTCCCATCTGTGACGTAGTCACAGCCCAAGAGCCCCCTCTCCCCACCTGCCCCCACTTCTGCCGTGCCTCCCCCGCCACACAATCCTGGGAGGTGACCCCGGCACAGCCTTTCAGACTGGGGCGCTGCTCCCTCTGGGCTCAAGGCTGTGCCACCCCGGCGCCCTCACAGCACCTCACAGCACCCGGCGTCACCTAAGGGGGCTCAGCCAGCTCCGCCAGGAAGCCAGCTCCAAACCAGTGCACAGGAACAGTCCGGTCCGCCTGCCACCGAGTCCCTCCCCTTCCTGTGATGGGTTTGTGGGAGGAAGTCCTATGTGTAGTTCTTTTCTAATCACAAGACACTTCATCTTGCATGTTTCTCCTGACCTGAAAGCAGTTCTGTGAAGAAGGCCTGTAGTAATGGCCCATTTTTGAGGTTAGAAAACGGAGGTCTCAGAAGCCCCATGATTTGCCGGGTCATCCAGCTCCGGCAGAGCCAAGACCTGCACTCATGGCTCCTGACTTTCCCCGCTTCAACGTCCCCTCCCTCTGCTCCCGGGCTGTGCCATCTCCAGGGAGCGGACTGTGTTTGGTGGTGACATTTCAGACTTGGCGACGAGCTGAGAAGTGTTTCAGGAAGATATTTAGGGTTGGAGGACTCTCCCGGAGCTCTTTGGTAAAGCCTGTGGGCTCCCTGTCGGTGTGAGGACGGCCTTTGGTGCCTGGTGTGGCACACACAGACGCTCACGCGCAGGTGAGTGTGGAAAGGCCCCGCCCTCCTGGGCTTTCCTCCCCATCACTCCTCCCCCTTCCCAGCACCTCCCCGTGGGCTCCGGAAAAGAGGCAGGGCTCCGACTGGAAAACAGGCTGGTCTTGTGGGCACCACAGCCCTCTGTATGCACCCACCCACCCACCTGGGGTGCTGGGCACTGCAGGGTCGGCCCCATCTGTGGCCAGTATGGTACAAGGTAGTAGGCAAGCTTAGTTCCCCTTTCTGACTCCCATTCTCTCATCTGACTCGTAGCAGAGTTATGAGGATTAAGTGTGATACGTGTAGGAACTTCACTGCAGTATCTAGTACATGCTCAGTGGCCAACTAACGTGAGCTGTTGCTCTTCTTATTGGCACTGAAGTCAGACGGACTTACCCTTGATGGATGTGGGTGTCCTTAGAGCTGTTCACAAAACTCCAGGTGCACAGGAGAATCACACACCCTTGACCACCTTCCTCCCCTGAAGTTAGTTCAGCAAGGCCACCTGATTGCTTTGGCCAATAAAATGAGCGTGTTTCTAGGCTAGAGCATTTAACAGCTCAGGGGAGACCTTCCAGAGGCCCCTCTCCTTCTCCAGTGACAGCTGATACTCGATCAGCCTGGGTTCCAGAGAGAACAGCGAGGGCATAACCATGTTTGCATGCATTAATTACATCATCCTACCTTGCAAGAGCCATGCTAGCGGGTATGGTAACCACAAGTACAGATGAGGTTACCGAGATTCAGAGAGACAAGCAGCCTGCCCTGCCTTCCTTGCTAGAAGCTGATCACACAGCCCACGCCTGGCATGCAGAGCTCCTTTCACCTTGTTAAGGTTTCCCTTCTGCTCCCTTTCTTGGTCCCAGGCTTCTTGGCAAGGTCAAGCTAACCAGCAAGGCCTCGTCAGATAGAGGCACCTCCCAGCTGCTGGCTGTACGACACCCTCCCCACACACTCACACACACACTCACACACACACACACACTCACACACACACACACACACTCACACATACACTCACACACACATACACACACACACACTCACACACACACACTCACACACACATACACTCACACATACACACACACACACTCACTCACACACACACACACACACACACACTCACACACACACACACATACACTCACACACACACACACACACACACACAGGCCGCCTCCTTCCCTTGCCCCCCCCCCCTCCCCAGCACTGAGGCAGGGAACATGACCCCACTTTTGCTCTCCGCCAGCATGAATGTTTCATGGGGCGGCACAAGCCACTCTGCCAGCAGTGTCTCCAGTTCCAGGACCCGCCTGGCTCAGATGGCTCGATGGCCCCTCCCGCACCCAGGCCCTCCCAGCACAGCCTGTTCACAAGTGACACCTGCTGTGGGGGCTGGGGAGGGGTGCTTGTGTTTCCAGCATCCCATAACTCTGACGTGCAAGGCCAGTTGGCAAGCATGTCCAGGTCCATTCTGCTCCTCTTTGTCACAAAACTGCTAAACCTTCACTCTCCCTTCTTCCTCCCCACTGCCCACCGAGGCTTGTTTCACTGCCGCCCCAGCCTTTACAGAGAGAGTACAGAGGAAAGGGAGACGGCGGGGGGGGAGACGGCTCTGAAGCCTGGTGGAAGGCCTGGGTACAAGACCTGAAACCAAAGGCTCTGTCCCTCACCACCTGTGTGCACAGACAGGTCACCCGCAGGGGCCTTGCCTGCAAAATGGAAGGAATACCCTCCCCATTGCATCGCGATGAGGGTCCTCCATTGACACACGAGAGGGGACTCTGCACGTCATCACACTGCGGAAATGTGCAGTTCTGCCTCTGTTCTCCTAAGCTCTTGGCTGCCAGCTGACCTGCTACAGTTTGGCCAACTCTTATCATCTCAGCCCCAACTTCTCGTCTATTATTGGGGGCAGAGGGCTGCAGCTCTCTGGGGTCCACTCCAACCCTGACAGTCTTGAGTCTGTGTTTGGTTGTCTGGGATTCTGACCCCGGTTTCATTCCCTCTGTTAAGGATAACCCTGCTTCTCATTCTAGCCAACCATGTCAAAGCCGTTTCATTGTTGTCTACAGTCCCCAGCTGACCGGGACATCTCTCCAATATGAACAGGCTGAGTGAAGTCCTTGGGGTGGGAAGGGACCAAGGGCTGCGGACCATGTCTTAGGCCCGTGGTCGGCAAACTGCAGCTCACAAGCCACATGCGGCTCTTTGGCCCCTTGAGTGTGGTTCTTCCACAAAATGCCTCGGCCTGGGCATTTCTATCGTTGTTCTGTTGATATTTGGCTCTGTTGACTAATGAGTTTGCCAACCACTGTCTTAAGCCATCTTTTCTTGAGCTCTGGATGGGAGTAGAGCCAGCTGGCCCTCTGAGTCCTGCCAGAGCTAGGAGCAGGGGAAGGGGGCTTGGAAGTCTCGCCTCTGAGCACCAGCGGTAACCACCTGCCCTGCATCGTCTTAGAGACTCTGGGCAGCACCCCGCCACGTCACACAGCGTCACCTCCGCTGACTTTCTCAAGCACGGAACCCTGTGTTAGGGAACAGCGACTCCCACTCCACAACGAGAGAGAAGTTAAATGCAAGCTTCTATGGGAAGGGCCACGTGCACATAACCTTTTAGGTCCGGGGCTGGCCGGAGAGTCTCCCCTGAGAGCAGTCTGGGCGGGAGGGAAGGCGTGAGGGCAGGGATCTGGGGATCCTCGGAGGAGAAGGAACAAATGCACAGAAGTGGGTGACGTGAGCATTTAGAACGGGCCTGACTGCCATCGCTACTCTGCCTCGCAGCTGGGTTGCATTGCCACACAGCTGACAGCGGAAGCTTTCTTTGTCCCTCCCTCCCAGAGCAGTGTCTGGGGTGATGGCCTGGGAGTCAGGACACCTGACTTCTTCTACCCACTAGCCCTGTGCTCCTGGGCGAGGCACTCGCCTTCTCTGGGCCTCAGTTCCTCATCTCTAAGATAAGGCCATTGAACCGTTTGGTCTCCAGGTCCTTTCCATTTCAGCCAAGCCTCTACTCTCAGAAGCTTCTCCAGAGCAGCAAGCAGGGAGGGGCTGGAGGAGGCGAGCGGAGTGGGGGACGCAGAGCCTCCGGAAGATGGGATGGTGAGCTGCACCTGTGGGCCGGGGTGGGCCCGCCCGCCCGCCCAGAGCCCGCTCACCCACCAGCAGCCAGCTGCATCCACGCGCAGATCTTGTAGACGGTGGCCGTGTTGCAGACGAAGAACAGGCTGAAGCAGATGATGGAGCCGATGATGAGGAACATGGCCAAGGCCACGAAGAACATGGCCGTCTTGAAGGCCCGCGAGGGGATGGAGGAGAAGTCCAGGGGGCCGCCCTTGCAGATGAGCTCGGAGGACAGCACGTTGCCCACGCAGTAGGAGAAGAGGCCGAAGTAGCCGGCCTGCGGCGTGTTGACGCTGTCCCCGATCCAGTAGGGCTGGATGAAGAGCGCCATGACCAGCACGGAGAAGCAGATGGTCAGCGTGCCCCACATCACGCCGATGGCCCTGGCGTTGCGCACGTAGTTGGTGTGGTAGATCTTGGCCGCCTCCTGGGCGGGCAGCAGCTTCACCATGGCGAGGGCCTGGGCGGGAGCCTGGGTTAGGGCCTGGGCAGGGGCAGGGGCAGGGGCCTGGGCTGCGAGCCGGGGTCCACAGAAGGAGGCCCCTCCTCAGCTGGGCTTGGGGAGCAGGCTGAGGTATTAGGGAGCAGGCTGAGGTCTTGGGGGGCAGGCTGAGGTCTTGGGGGGCAGTCTGAGGTCTTGGGGGGCAGGCTGAGGTCTTGGGGGGCAGGCTGAGGTCTTGGGGAGCAGGCTGAGGTCTTGGGGGGCAGGCTGAGGTCTTAGGGGGCAGGCTGAGGTCGGGGCTGGAGGTGAGGGCTCCTCCGAGGCGGAGGAGAGGGCTGCTGGGACAGGGAGGGCGACCTTGGTCCCTGCAGGAGCTCGTCCAGGTGCCTGTGTCCGCTCGGGCCTCGGGCCTCCGGCCTCCTGTCCCGCCGCGGGGGTCTGGGCCCGGCGCCGCCCTGCCTCCGGTTCTCCGCTCCGGCTCCGGAGACTCCGCCTCCCGGACAGCTCCGCTCAGCACCGCGGACAGCGCCCGGCCCGGGGGCGGGGCCGGGGAGCGGGTGGGGCCGCGCCGCCCGGGTGAACCCGGGAGCCCGACCCACCGCCCTGGTCGGAACCAGAGCCCAGGCCCGGAGCGAGGCCCGGAGCTGGGAGGGTGGGGCCGTCACTCCTCCCGCTCAGTTCCTGCCGCAAACCCGCTTTCTGAGCGCGGCCCCCACCCCCTCCCTGGTCCCCCGTCGCCCTCCAGGCCCTCCACCCCCCAGGCCAGCAGAGCCTGCTCTGATGCCATCTTCCCCGTCACTGGCTCCTGGTTCCCATCCTTCACCCGGCAGTCACGAAGCCCTGTGTTGGAGGGTATCTTCCCGGAGCAAGAGCCACAGAAATGCAAAGGGCGGGCCCCTGCCCTCAAAAACAGTGAGATAAATGCATGGTATTTAAATGTATTAGTTATAAATAATAAGTCTTATAATTATTTATAAATACATTATATGCAATGTATAAGAAACATCGATGAGAGAGAAACATCATCTATCCGCTGCCTCCTGCAGGAGTCCACAACAGGATCAAACCAGGGACCTCAACCACTGAGCACACCGACTGGGCTCTCTCCCTCTTCCTTCCCCTCGCTGAAATCAACAAAAACATATTTTTAAAATAATAAATAAAAAATAGCCGAAACCGGTTTGGCTCAGTGGATAGAGCGTCGGCCTGCGGACTGAAGGGTCCCAGGTTCATTTTCGATCAAGGGCATCTACCTGGGTTGCAGGCACATCCCCAGTGGGGGGTGTGCAAGAGGTAGCTGATCGATGTTTCTCTCTCATCGATGTTTCTAACTCTCTATCCCCCTCTCTCTTCCTCTCTGTAAAAAAAAAAAATCAATAAAATATATTTTAAAAATAAATTAATTAATTAAATTAAATTAAATTAAAAATAATAAACATTAAAAAAAAAAAAAGATGGATGGCTCTAGCCAGTTTGGCTCAGTGGATAGAGCATTGGCCTGAGGACTGAAGGGTACCAAGTTCGATTCCGGTCAAGGTCACATGCCCAGGTTGAGGGCTCAGTCCCCAGTAGGGGGTGTGCAGTAGGCAGCTGATCAATGATTCTCTCATCATTGATGCTTCTATCTCTCTCTCCCTTCTTCTCTGAAATCAATAAAAATATATTTACACACACACAAAAAGACGAGCTTTGGCCCTTGCTGGTGTGGATCAGTGATTGGAGCTTTGTCCTGTACCCCAAAGAGTGGTAGGTTCAATTCCCCATAGGCCACATACATACCTGGATTGTGAGTTCCTTCTCTCTCCCTCAAATCAATAAAAAATAATATTTTTAAAAATCAATGAAAACATATTCTCGCATGAGGATTTTTTTTTTAATTGGACTTTGGCTTTTAGGCAGTCTGGATTTGAATCAGCACTTAGCTAAGGAACCATCTGTGAGCCTCAGTTTCATCATATATAAAATGGGGCGATAATAGTTTCTATCTTATAAATGTCAGGTAAAATAATATATGTAAACTGCTTAGCCCAGGGCCTAACATGCAAAGTGCTCAAAAACGTTTTAATTATTATTTGTATATTATTATCATTACCTCTCTCATCATTTTGGTGTATTTCCTTCCTTCTGCACATACTGCATTACACAGTCAGATGATAATGTATGTACAAATTACTATCCAATTTTTTCACTCTGCATTACATCATTAATATTTCCTCATATTACTATTTTTTTAAAGACGTTATTTTAATGCTTGTGTGATAATGGTTTAATCATTTCCCCCGTTGGGGGTGTTTGGCAGTTTCTGGTAAAGCTCACCCCCACACACACTGGCTCAGACGCATAACAAGGCGTCCATCGGGGGCAGATGGAGACAGTGAACACATCTGCCCCCCATCGCTATGGCTCCCAACAATCTCAACAGACTTTGAGCCCCTGATGCGACATCTATAACTCTCAAAACTCAGCAATGAGAAAATAAACAAGCCAATTAAAGACTGGCTGGCAAGAGTCTCACCAACACCTCCCAGGGAAGAGACACGGATGGCAGTCGGCACATGAGGAAATGCTGGCCATCACTGATTGGCAGGGATGCACATTGAACCACGGTGACGTTGCACTGCCCACCCAGTAGGAAGGCGGAATTAAACAGACCCCCTGACGATTCTGTGTCCTGCTAATGGGACCCGCACTGGCTCAGCCACTTGGGAGGCGGTTTGACATCTCCTAGAAATTGAAGCAAACGTTTGGCCTGAGACTGGCCCACCTCACTGTGGGTATTCGTCCCAGAGAAGTGGAAACGTGTGTTCACACCAGGACCTGCGCATGGATGTGTAGCATCTTGGTTCATAACTTTCCAGAAACAGCCCAAAGGTCCTTCAGCAGGGGTGGGTAGGCGTGCTGCGGTTCCCCTGTGACGCGGGTTCGGAAACATTAACTAAGCATCTACGGACCCTGAGACGGCGTGTGCACGTCTCAGACACCTGTGCTAAGTGGACGGAGCCAGGCCCCGCCCTGGCTGGTGTGGCTCAGTGGATAGAGCATTGGCCTGAGGACTGAAGGGTCTCAGGTTCGATTCCAGTCAAGGGCACATGCCCAATTGCTGGCTCGATCTCCATTAGGGGGTGTGCGAGAGGCAGCCGATCAATGATTCTCTCTTGTCATTGATGTTTCTATCTCTCTATCTCTCCCTCTCAGCCCCTTCCTTTCTGAAATCAATAAAAACATTTAAAAAAAAAAAAAAAAAGGAGCCAGACCCCAACAGTATGTGTGAGTTCATCAGATGGCATTATGGGAGGGCGGCCTGGAGGGAAAGAGAGCAGGCTGGTGGGCGCCAGGACCTGGTGGTGGGCTGGCTGCAGAGGGGCAGTGCCAGGGAATATTTTGGCTCTGGATGTGCTCTGTCCGCTGGATGTGGTAGTTACATGGCATCTGCATTTGTTAAAACTCAGAACTGTAACCACAAAGGGTGACTTTTACAGCGTCGATTATACTTTATTTTTTAAAGGAGGGAGGAGGAGCAGCGAACTTTGGAGGGTGCCCAGAGGGGAAGGGAGATGAGTGTGTGGAACTCAGCACGCCTGGCTGCTCCCTGTTGCTGCCAAGTCCAGGGTAAAAATTAATGGCAGAAACATCAACGAAGACTTCGTCCCCCAGCACAGGCAGGCCGTCCAGAGCCCAGCTGCCTCAGGAGCAGAAGGTCTGGGTCAGAGGGACCCCTGGTTGACAGAGATGCAGGCCGAGAGCGGGCACCTGGGGTGGGGTGGCGGATGGAGGTCTAAGAGCTCCCGCAGGCAGTAGCATCTGCAGAAAGGACTTGAGCAGCCCCCCGTTTTCTTCTTGCTGTCTCATACGCCTATAGGGTGTCCCCCAAAAAGTTTACACTCTATGAATGAGTATAAAGTCAGTGTTTACTAACGTACAGTTCACGTTCAAAACTTAAAAGAATCTACAGAAATGAATAATTTTCCTTGTCAACTGTTTTCAAACGGATGACCGACCCATGCCTGGTGCTGCTGATAACACGAAGCAATGGAATCGCAAACATAGGAATCACTTCGTTGGGTATTTGTGAGCCTCGGGTGTTGCCAGTTTATAGCGTGAGCTTTGTCTCTTCTGTGGCCCCCTAACAGAGCCAGCGGATAAATATTCTTTGTTCAAAGCTTAGAACAAAGTCTGGCTTCACCCATTATTTCAATCCAGGTCAGCCTGGGAAGGAGGGAAAATGGAGTGAGTTATCAGCTGTTACCGTGTGTGCACATTTTTGGGACACCCGGTATTTATGTGTGTGCACATTTTTGGGGACCCCCGGTATTTATGTATCTTACAACCCTTCCTTCTTGGTGGCGGCTAACTTTACAATTTAGCCTCTGAGCTACAGAATACTGGGATGTGGTCGTGACCAGACGAAAGGAGGTGACCCCACAAAGACATCCTGGACAGCCCTGGCAGGGACCGGGAGGCTGGGCCATTGTTGGTCTCACAGAGGGCAGGCAGCGGGTGTGAGGGGACACTGACAGGGACTGGGCCTCTGAACATGGAAAGCGGGTCCCTGAGGCTGTCACAGCTGAAGGAGGGACCATGCTGAGAGAACGGAGCCACAGTTCCAGGGACTGGGAGGGGAGGTAGAACGAGGGACATGGTCACAGCGGCCAGCGAAGACCATCAGGCCTCTCCCTGCCCCCTCCTCGTGGTCCGGGCGTGGTCCGGGGAGGGTGGTGAGCAGAACCTGCAGGCTGAGCCTCACTGCCGCCCTCACGACAAGGCGGCCATAATCAGAGGAAATGAGGAGTGACAGTTCCGGTGCGGATCAGCTGTAACTGAGCTGCTTTGTGGGGAAGAAGGGTTGTCTGTGGGCGGGCGGGCAGCCCACAGTGGATGAAGGAGGCGTTTGCTGTCTGCCCGGAATCCCTCCCACCTCAGCTCTGCCAGGCCCGCCACGGGGCGGGTTTGGGCCAGCCTGAGCCTCCTGGTGGGGAGCCTGTACCTGGAGGGGATCCCCTGTCTCCCCGCTCTGACTCCTCCGTTGTCACACATCTGCCCTGGACCCAGAATCGTGAGCACTTTCCCAGAACTGAGGTCTGTGCTGTGGCCTCAGCAAACACAGGGAGTTTCCACCCCAGGGGGCAGAGATGCA